TTAAAATAAAACAAACCCGAACTCTCCAGCTTGAAGTATATTAAAAAATCTTGGGACGCCGTTCAGGGTCCTTTTTGGACCTTGATCTCTGGAAAACTCCTGAACCGTAAGACTTGGAGACAAAAAAATTTTTTCATTCCCGTAACTAATTGTACCGAACATTTATGGAAAGTTTCGTCAAGATCGGATGCACGGTGTTCGAGATAATTTCTGAGGGTGGGGGGGGCCCTTAAACGCTTTTGAAGAAAAAAAGCCGTCCAATTAGACTGCTGTTAGTTTATAATGGGTAAATGTTCCATTCTTTGATTCTAGTGTACTATCTTTATAGGTATCCATCAATGTATATTAATGCTCAATTCAAGAAATTATTTGCCAAGTACTCATCATTCTCGTTTTATCTATTAGCCGTGATTGACGACAAAGAAGAGTTCTTTACAAGGCGTAAAGGTTTATTCAATCAGCCGACTAACAATAAATTCCAGACCGCCAACAGAGCAGCTACAGCCGATGTGATTAACGATAAACTCAATGATGAGACAGATTGGAAGCAAAATGATAAAACTCAAGAGCCTGGCAATCGTCTAATACTTAATTCAACCTATGAGAAACGACTGGCGGATATTCAACGCGATATTCGCCAAGTTTGGTTTATGACATTTTCAGATACAACAGCCGTGAATACAGATATAAGGCACGCGGCTGAGCCAGCTGTTGACTTGCTTGTATCTCATATCTTGCCCGGACGAAAACGGTTTTTGCACACTTCTCCCAATTGGTTGCAATTCTCAGTCTATAAGTAGCAATCACACCTGGCTCACGACAGGCACCACGGTAACGCGCGCGAGCAGATGGCGAATTGACTGACTCGGGGACATTTCTGTAAATCTGTAAAGCCTAACTGACCAAAACAAACTATAAAATAATCTAATTGGTTAGATGAAAAATAGAAATAAAACGGCTTTTTCGAGGAAAGGCACGAATCAGAACAATATCTGTCGTCCTCTCAACTTTGGGAAAACGTTCGTGGTTTCTCCGTAGAGGCTTGCTGAATTTTTTTCGCCTTTCGTCAGAAGTCTTATATATTTGTGTACTACATTCGCCAGTGTAAGAAAGTTTTGCGGTCAAGCTAGACATCGTAGAAAAACCCGGTCAAAATATTGAAGTAGAACCTTTGTAACGCGAACACCCTTTAGGACTTTTCAAAAGTGTTAACTGTCCCGAGGTGTCCAGAATTGAGAGACTTTTATTTACCGTTAGAAAACTACATTTTATAGCTTTTCTACGGTTTGGAATAGAACTGTAACCTAGAATCAAACTTCAAAAGTATACTTTAGTGTTAAGAAATAAAAGTCTACTTAAAAACTAAATTTTTCGAAAAAATCTGAGCTGTCGTGAAGGTCACACGGAAAAATTCTTTATCCTGAAGCAGACAGGTTGAAACTCTGGATTCACCTCTGGTCCTCTACCGTACTGTTCAAAGTTTTCCAGTATGATTTCGCCGCCCAAAGTAGTTTTGCAAATTAGCAGTTTTTGAATTCTACCTATGTCGCACTACACTAGAGTCTTGCACGGTAACCCTACCCTGCTACCAGAGTTGTAAGCAGTCCGACCGGATCGGCCGGTTTTTGCCGGTTCTACAAAGTTGTGCATATTCGTTCATTTTTCATTAGGAAGACATTATGCATATGTGCTCAGTAGTTTTTTTCAAAGAAAGAAAGAGTGACAATTTTATTTGAAATGTAAATTCTATTTTCTTTATAATTTCAATTTGTATTCAAAGATAAAGTCATACTATTTATTGTTTAAAATATCTTAGCAATCGGAACATTGTCGTGTATTGGGTGTTTATATGCTTTTATCTTTTTTCCTTGATATTAATCCAGTTTTTGCACGAGAAAATGTATATATACATTGTATACATACATTTTCTCGCGTAAATTTTGAACGAAATAATAAAAGAAATGAAAATTAAATACCGACTTTTGTGGAAGGAACCTTGTCTCATGCAGAAGAAACTCAATCTTGAAAATATTGGTTGGTTTTTTGATATCTAGAATTCCAGTTATCTAGAATTCAGTATAAGCATTACAGAAAAGACAGGCGTAAAAGTCTCTAGGTGTTCAGAACAAAATTTTGTCCGTAATATCAATTTTATTACCTGAAAAAACTTGATGAACTCGCCGGGTTTTACCGGTCTCGAAACATTTTTAGACTGGCCGGAGTGGTCTGAAATTTAAACCGGCCGGACCGGACTGGTTACAACTCTACCCTACCCTAGGGAGGTTCAGGGCACAACCCTTGTAGGGTAGGGTTAGGACATGATTCTAGAGTATAGGTAAAAAATAGTACTGAATCCGATTATCGGCATAAGACGGACCGCTAGGCCTTGCGAGTACCGGATTTCTGGGAAATCAGGTTTCCAGAGCCGGAAACGTTTTGTTCCAAAACCTTTTCTGATCTGTCTCGATTGTAGAGCACATCGAGAAACCTATAAAAAACTAGTTTTCAGAATTTTGGAACCCTTTCACAGCCCGCCAGACGGACTTTTCTTCTCTTTTTCGTACGCTGAGGTTATTTTGACGGAGCAAAAACATTTTAAAAACCCGAAAACTAGTTTTTTATAGGTTTCTCGATGTGCTCTACAATCGAGACAGATCAGGAAAAAGTTTTGGAACAAAAAGTTTCTGGTTCTGGAAACCTGGTTTCCCAGAAATCCGGTACTCGGAAGGCCTAGCGGCCCGTCTCATGCCGATATTCGTATTCAGCACTTTTTTACCTATCCTTTACTAGATTTCATTAAAAAACGATTGGTCGGTTACATATGTTCCCTCGTCAGACTCTCTTCTTTCTTAATAACTTTTTACACTCTGATGAAGATTCAGATGTCCAAGTCTTGCTTAGGATCTTAACAGGATTTTATATTATAAATTCTACGAGATAGATTTGAACACATTTATTTTACCTTGACGACGGACGATATAGACCACTTTGATATCAGGGAAAAACAGGATGTTATAAAAACTTGACAGGGATTTGTGACCAGTTAATTTCAATTGTAATTAGGATTGTCATCCTGCACTATCTTGTACTATTAATCTTAGTAAGATCCTATATGATCCTGCAAGTAGTCTTGTGTGACAAATGACGAACCGAACCTTGATAAGATCTTGAATGTTTCTCGAGAAATTTTTAGTGTCAGGAAATTTTAACAGAACGTCCATGATCTTAACAAATCTGTTTATGTCTTGTATAGTTCCTTACACTAGGGTCTTGCATAAATTCAGTCATGATCCTGGAGATTTAGAATTTTGTAAGATCCTGACAGGAAAGTTCAAGAAGACTTAGGAATGAGATCAGGGATTTTTTTCTTTGTTTCTCTCTATTTTCTTCTATTTTTATATTTTCGATTCTCTCAGTTTTCGACATTTCCAGCCGCCGCTGCAAACTATGAAAAGTTAAGCATCCTCAGCCGCCGACGCCGAAGATTTCAGGCATCTCTGGCCGCCGTCGCCATAAGTCAGAAAAAAGCTTTATCTGCCGCCGCCGGTCACTTGATCGGCTTACACCTATAGCCGTAAGTACAAAATTGTGGATATGCGAAATAGCCGATCTTCCAAAATGGAACTTGTTCCATCACGTCCTCTCTCATCGTTGTTCAATACACGAAAGAAGAAAGGTAAATGCTCAATGTTTCTTTACCTCAGATTTCTGATTTTTTCAGAATCTTATTCTGTTTGTGTTCAACAGGATACATTCGGACTTCTCCAAAAAAAAGGATTCATGATACACAACGATCACGTAGTAGTACATTCCTTCTGCACCATGTATGAACAGTTCACAAATTTTGAATTATTCGCTCAATTTTAATCTCTTGTCAATAAGATCAATGCATGTCTGCAGGATAAATCAAATCATTTTCATTTGTACTATAATTCTTTTACTGGTAGTCTCATTCCTATTCGTCTAGATTTAGCATTTAACATACAAATGTTCTTCCACATATATAAGAAGCTCGTACATATATTATACTACGAAGTGCAATCTCCCATTACCATAGCTTATCTACCAATTCAAATATCATTCTGTTATAAATCAGACACAAACTATCGCTTCTTTTCAAGCACTATAGATTAGCAAGTGATCAACGATAGTCTACGAAAAAGTTCTCAAAAAACAAAACAACTTCATTATATGTCATTCGTCGTCTCAAACAACGCTAAAAGCAGAGTAAAATCAGATTTACCACATCCTACGAATAAACAATCATCAACTACACCTAGCTTGGATACTATCACACTTACTCAAACAACAATCAAATAAGAATTTTCATTCAAATTAACGACTTAAATACATCGAGTCGACAGCTGGGTCGAAATCGCGATCATATGGCAGCTCGTACTCACCATTATAAATGGATATCTGAGTCTGTTTACTGGTCTTTAGATTAGAGAAAAGCAGCCAGCTTTTGCTTTGAATTTTCGAATTCTTGGTAAAGCCAGAAAGTTACTCTCCTGATGGGAGTGTCCAAAATCAAGAGATCTGATGAGATATAGGCGTCAGCTAGATCGAAATCGCGATCATGGCAGCTCATACTCACCCACCCTCACCCTCTAGCTTTTTCAATTGATCTTCAATAGTGGAGATCTGAGGTTTACTCTCGATTAATCTAAAATTGCAAATGTCAGCTTTAATGTCACGTCTCGATTGGGAACTCAGAATATCGGCTAACAAGACCAATGCTCTGCCAGTGAGCACCACATATCTCTACCGAGGGTATGCTATGCCTTCGTTCGTCGCTAGATGATGTCCTGTAGCATCGAGATTTTCCCTGATATTGAAGAATGAGCAGCAGCAGAGTCAGAAGCAATAATAATGATTGTAGTAGTTTAAGAATCTTACATTATTCCATTGACTGTAAGTCTATGGTCATACGAAAAAGTACAAAGTGTTTGTGTGTGTGTTTGTCCGTACACGGGTGTGACCGACGTAAGCACACACGGTGACGGACGTACATACATACAGTTATGTAGTAGTGTGACGGACGTACATGCATATAGTGACTACCGAGTGTGACAGACGTATAGTCATGTGACAGTGTGACGGACGTACATACATATAGTGACCAGCGAGTGCGGTAATATTACGTCCATTTCGAACATCTGTACGACAGATAAAACTAAATCAAATTACAGAGTCTCGATGAACTATAGCAATTCTCATAAATGTTTCTCACCTGTGAAAAGCTAAAGCAAGTGGTTCTGTAAACTAAGATGGAAAATATGGACGTTCCCATCGCGAAAAATATGCATCAGTTCTGTAGTAGCAAGATCGAGTTAAAACAGAATGAATAATAATTCCGAGAGTACACTCAGTGGACTTACAGGCAATGGATCTAGTGAATCGAAGCGATTCACGTTATTTATTTATAACAATTATTTTCTGTCGATGATTGTCATTAAAGTAGAGAAAATTATGACAAGAAAATATGTACGTATTTGCGTTTAAGAAAAATATAATTGGTTGCTTTCATAGTCTTTCACATTACTCTTGTTTATTTTTTGTATAACGCAAAGAAAATATTTCTTTTGTTATAGAAGAAAAAAGAAAGAGAACGGCCTTTATATTCACCATAGATTGTTGTCTTGGCGTGACATGATGATGAAAAATCAAAATCGAAAAACTTGTTTTTTGTGTGTGGGAAAGGAGGGTGCCCTTAAACTTTGACGTTTTGATAAAACAGACTATTCAGTTGTCTTTGAAATAAAACAAAAAAAATTAGCTTAAAATATTTCAAATATTA